AAAAAAAAAAAAAAAAAGAAACTGATAATTTTGAAGAAAACAACCTATTGAAAGACGTTAAATTTTCGCAATAGACTGAATTTGAACAACGTTATAGTTCAAAACGTACATAGTAGGTGTACCTATAGTTGGTGTAGTGGACACCAGAATTTCAAGATAATAATATTGTTGCTATGCTTACTAAATAATTAAATTAATAAATAAGGACATTTAATTATTTTTCCATCACAATACATAATGATGTAGATCTTAATATTAATCTTATAATATTGACATAAGCTTGTTTCTTCTCTTCACTTCACTTTGGTTCTACATAGGGTTAATGCAGTTTACCTGACAATACAATGATGAAAGTCAGGAACCCAAACTAAGATAACCCGTGCTTTGGGCTTCTGTTTATTTTTAATACTATTTTTAAAATGTATTTAATTTTATAAGTATTTTTATTTGATAAAAATGATTGAAAACAATACCATAACCATAAGTAGCTATTATATCTAATAATGGTTTAGTGGCTTACATCTTGGGGAAATTATAAACGTAATTTGATTATTGCTTAAGTTTTTACTAGTACTATATAGTACTCGTGAGATATTGATGTTATTGACAATGTCATATATCTTGTTTAAGTGCAACAATGTTCAATGATTAAACAGTGTTGTTTGTCAACACAACTCCTTCTTTGAACGTCTACTAGTATAATTAGCGAGGATGACGCTACCTATACAATTAAATAGATCGGACTAACTTACCTGTGACGTCCGATCCTCAATTGTGTAGGTAGCGTCATCCTCGCTAGGTCCCAACCCTTCCCGGATAATAAACATGTTTATTTTTACCCCTGGTCGAGTTGTGTTGCAGTTGCAGGTGCTTTGAAGTATATGATGTTGCCAGTGAGATGACCATAGAGTATAAATATTTTTTTATGAATGTGTTCATCTTTAAATATTGTGACAGCGTGCCCAGATTAGTGCCTACTACTAGTATAATTAGCGAGGATGACGCTACCTATACAATCGCCATCAGACCACCACGGATGGGGCCCAATAGGGCTGATGCCGATACGGAGCCGCGAAGGACTTAACGGGTTGCCGGGGCTCCGGGTCGAAGGGCAGGAGTAGGCACGGGGTGGTTTTTAGTCAGTAAGTGTCTGACACTCCCTCCCGCCTCAGCCAGGCGGGAGAAGGCATTGGATAATTTTCCCCCTCAAAAAAAACGCTCACCCCTTATTACATGGGACTCATAACATAAATAATGAAAAGTGGGTGTTACATTGTACAGTGACATTAAGTGCCGTAATGTGCACAGCTCTGCCTAACCCTTCGGGGATAAAGGGCGTGGTGTTATGTTATGTTAGAAGGTGTTGGAGGTGTCAGCACATGACTTATGTATCATCATGTTTCAGAATTTTCTGTATGGAATCCAAATGTACCTACTAAATAAAAGTCGAAGTATCTATTATATTTTATCAGTGTGTATGCCATCAGGGAATAACATATTGTTGTGTTAATAATATTATGATAGCTGCAATGTTCTATTGTGGTCATTGTAATAAGATAGTTGTTCTGCTGACCGCTAATATATCAGTAACAAATATTACTGACTGGAACAAATAAGACTGCCTCGTTGGCCGAGTGGTCGCAAGTGCGACTGGCAAGGGGTCTCGGGTTCGATTCCCGGGTCGGGCTAAGTATTACTGGGTTTTTTTACACTCGAATACCGTTCCCTCGCTTACACTACATTGGTATGATCGAATCTACTGCGCTCGATTACTTTACGCTTTACTCAACTAGAATCCACTCCATAACACTACATTCAATTCAACTAGACTACATTAGACTACAGTATACTGTACTCCACTGCCTCCTTGGCCGAGTGGTCGCAAGTTCAACTGCCGGGCAAGGGTTCGATTCCCTGGTCGAGCAAAGTATTACTGGGCTTTTTCAAAAAAATCTCAGTAGTAGCATGGAGTCTAGTCTAGAATTGTGCCCGGTATATGGCAATAGGCTCACCCCCACCTCACATGGAACTTGTAACATAAATAGTGAAAAGTGGGTGTTACATTGTACAGTGGCATTAAGTGCTGTAATGTACACCTCTGCCTACCCCTTCGGAGATAAAAGGCGTGATGTTATGTTATGTAACAAATATTACTTTCATTTATTTATTGTCAATGCAATGATGTGATTGAAATGAAATGCTGTAGGTTGTCTAAATACCTCTAGATTAAGTTCACATTATGTTAGGAGCAACAATTCACACACACAGTCACACTTCACACACATTCAAATTATGTTCATACAGTAATGTCATTAAGTCCACCTATGTGTACATTTTGTGAATGAAGCACTACATAGTATAAAACAAAGTCGCTATCCACCATCTGTCTGACCCTATGTATGCTTAGATCTTTAAAACTACGCAACGGATTTTAATGCAGTTTTTATAATAGACTAGCTACTTCCGCGCGGTTTCACACGCTCTGCTCAGCTCCTATTGGTCGTAGCGTGATGTTTTATAGCCTATAGCCATCCTCGATAATTGCGCTATCCAACACAAAAAGAATTATTCAAATCAAACTTGTAGTTACGGAGATTAGCGCGTTCAAACAAACAGACAAACAAACTCTTCCGCTTTATATAATACTAGCTGACCCGGCGAACTTTGTTCCGCTTTAACGGCAATAAATAAGCTTTTTTTATTGGAAAAAATACCTACATTAATCATTCATTATTATTTCTGTATTTTAGTACATAAGTTGCTCTTCATTTAAGTACCTTGTGATATACGACATTTTTTGATATACATAATATCAGGTGCAAATACAAACAACGCAGGTGGTCTTCCGACCCGTGAACATGCCACGTATTGACCATAGGAAAAACATGAATGTTTTAGATTTAAACCACAAACTTTTAACTTAACTTTAACTTTAACTTTTTGTTGATGGTCATGGCAAATGCAAGACGTTTCGGAAATTGAAGTCTTTTAAATTCAAACGGCATATCGGTTGGGATCATCGGGATCCATTAGGGCGGAACAAAGTTCGCCGGGTCAGCTAGTTATTATTATTATGCAGTTGTACTGAAGATAGTTCTTTATAACTTCTGGGACCCTGGTATATTATGCAGATGTACTGTAGAAAGCTCTTTATGACTTCTGCGATCCTGGTATATGCAGTTGTACTGTAGATAGTTCTTTATTACTTCTGCGCCCCTGGTATATTATGCAGTTGTACTGTAGAAAGCTCTTTATGACTTCTGCGATCCTGGTATATGCAGTTGTACTGTAGATAGTTCTTTATTACTTCTGCGCCCCTGGTATATTATGCAGTTGTACTGTAGAAAGCTCTTTATGACTTCTGCGATCCTGGTATATGCAGTTGTACTGTAGATAGTTCTTTATTACTTCTGCGCCCCTGGTATATTATGCAGTTGTACTGTAGAAAGCTCTTTATGACTTCTGCGATCCTGGTATATGCAGTTGTACTGTAGATAGTTCTTTATTACTTCTGCGCCCCTGGTATATTATGCAGTTGTACTGTAGAAAGCTCTTTATGACTTCTGCGATCCTGGTATATGCAGTTGTACTGTAGATAGTTCTTTATTACTTCTGCGCCCCTGGTATATTATGCAGTTGTACTGTAGAAAGCTCTTTATGACTTCTGCGATCCTGGTATATGCAGTTGTACTGTAGATAGTTCTTTATTACTTCTGCGCCCCTGGTATATTTCTCTCTAAGTTTGTATCGAGCATTTCGTAATTTTCGAGAAATCTATAATTAGTATCATATTTATGACCAGGAAAACATCGGGTACCAATTCTTTTTTATCATTAGTTAACCTTTCAATACTTTAAAAGAACGCGAGCGAAACCAGGGGGCAGAAAATAATATGTATTTGGTTAATTGAATTCGTATTTATTCTTTAAAATATCTGATTCTGATGTACCTAAATACTATTATTAGTCCTTGAAAACAGTTTTCTATTGGCAGTCAAAGGCAGTATTTTCACACATCGGGTTACATTATCTAAACTTTCAAACGCTATCGAACGGGATAAAAAGTATCCTATGTCCGTCTCCTGGCTCCTGGCTACCTCCCTACCAATTTTCAGCCAAATCTGTTCTGCCGTTCTTGAGTTATAAGTGGTGTAACTAACACGACTTTCTTTTATATATATAGATATAGTACTAGCGACCCGCCCCGGCTTCGCACGGGTGCAATATGCATGTATTATACATACAAACCTTCCTTAAGAATCACTCTATCTATTAAAAAAAACCGCATCAAAATCCGTTGCGTAGTTTTTAAAGATCTAAGCATACATACGGACGACTTTGTTTTATACTATGTATTGATAAGTATACGATACGAGTGATTATTAAGGAAGGTTTATAGGAATACTGCACGGATATTGCATCCGTGTGAAGCCGGGGCGGGTTGCTAGTTAAATAAATAAAAATACAGTTCACTCATCTAGAATTCGTTGTAAAGAAAGCAGTGTGCAATAAATATCCTTTGAGTAAAGACGTATTATAAAATTTATTTCACCAAACAAGCTGATATAGACTTTATAGTCGTAAACATAGCTTGTTCAGTCAATAAAATGCATCGTCATCAACCACCTACAGTGGCCACCACTGACTAAAGGTCCCGTCCCGAGAAGGCTTGAGCATTAATCGCCATGCTTGCTCAATCCGGGTTGGCGTTTACAAACTTATAATTAGTAATTATAAGCTCAGGTTTCCTCACGATGTTTTCCTTCACCGTTTGTCAGTGGTGTCTAAATAATCTTAGTGGATATCTTAATCTAAGTTTCTCATGCATTAAATGCATCACTATTGCAATTTATTTATAGTAGATTTGAAATATAAGTGTTTATAACTTTTAAATATTAGTGAGTGACATAAACAGGACTTGAACCTGTGTATTAAAAGATTGTTTATTAGACGTGCCCTAGACAGGGGCATATATCGACTAGGTTGGTGATACATTAAAGAAGGACGAAATAAAAGTACCGACGAGCATACATGAAAAGATTGATAACTGTTGATGAAGCGAAAGAGGTATAGAGGAATCATAGCAATTGGTATTCCATAACTACTGCCTACCCCTATGAGAGACAGGCGTGGGTTATTTATGTAATACATACATAGTATGTATGTTTATTAAAACAAAACAGCCAAATTCTTTCTTAAGCAAAATTTTCTATGTAATATATCTGTGTTCTGTACCTCTGTTATCCTTTGTTTTGAACTACTACAACGCCAATGGACAATGAATCATGGAAATTAATAAAATAATGAGAATCCTGTGTAAGTAGTTGAGTATCACGTACGTGACGTCAGTTTACAGATATGCTTGAATGAGTCAGGTCCATGAAACTAATGGAGCTTGACTATTGACCGGAATCATGGAAAATAAATTAAATATACACAGTAATAGTAACCAATGTATGTCTTAGAGGTACTAAATAAGATATACAAGCTTTTTAGTTAGATTCTATAGGGTTATTTAAGTGAAATAATGATCAAATCGGCTCAAAACTTACCTTTAATATGAGTGCTGAATTCGACGTGTGTTTCTGAAATCTGAACTTCTTTAACACTTCTTTCACATCGTCTGTGATGTCGCAGACGTTAACGTTGTGTGCCGACATGGTAATTAATTGAGTTTATCTAAAAATAAACAATAAATACAGGATAACTACCGCGCTTGTTTACGTCGACAAAATGACATAAAACGTCAACGCCCTCTTGACTACAATGACAGCTAGTTAGAGGTGTGAAAGAAATGAAATTTGAAAATTTTAATCGATTATAATAAATATTAAAAATTATTTAAATTTTTACACGCATGTTTAAAGGGTAATTTTTCTTCACATATATATGTACTATGTATCTTATCTATACTTATAATAAGACAGTAGAGAGAGACAATTATTCTTCATACTCCTCGGGAGGTTATAGTATGCTTTTCATTACGCTACAATCAATAGGAACAGAGCAGTGTAGGAAGTGCTAGGAAAAAAGAAGAAGTTACTCCATTTTTTAAGCTTTCGTCGCGTGAGCAGGTTTAATAGTTAAAGCTACATAGAAATCATGTACGACGAAAATGTTCTATATAAAATTATCTAAATAATATACCACAACAGCACATGTCTACCCTTTATGGTTCACTCACAACTCCCGATAGCTTAGCAGTTCGGAGCTTTCTGCTTATATTTGTTTACTCTTTTTAACAATACTCAATCTATTTGTTAACAATACTCATCCATAGTCTTTACGACTCAAGGGACCGGAATGAAATTCGGAACAGAGGTAGATAATGGTCTGAAGTAATACGTAGGCATTTTACCCGTGGGATCGCGGGCGAAGCTGCTGGCAGAGCTAGTAACGTATTATTTTCTTAAGGCCGTAGCAAATGGCTCTTTATTTGCATCCGCAAACTCAATCAATAGCACTAACGGCATACACACAATTGATCACTATTTAATAATAAAATTAACATTGATTGATACCGATTGAGACTATCAATGACTCAGCTCTTCTCTAAAGTTCTCTAACGTTTAAATACTTAAGCAAATGATTAGATCAAATTATCATATTTTTATATTTTGTAATGATATTGTGCAATACTTATTATTTTATTATTGATTCGCATTATAATCTAAGCTTTTTCTGATTTTAAAAGTGTAAGTTTTAAAACTAACACCGCCCTAGTACTCTCCTATCACAATTTATTCGGATTGAGATTCAGAACGTAAACGTACAAAACGTCAACTTGACACTTGACGTACGGAACGAAATGAAAAGTGAATTTTCCTACATTGCCAATCAGAGCAACAAAGACATTTTTTTGTTAAAATATCAACAAAAAATACAATAAAAAATATTTTTCTCTAAATCTAAAGTGAGTTAACAACTTCCGTTCAGTGTTTCCTGAAGTTTTTTCCATATAATTTATGTGAAAACGTGTTAAATCGTGTCGTGTTTGTTGGTGATAAAAATATTATTAAATAATTTTATCATTATTCTACAATAGTGTATGTTTAGGCGGCCTAATTAAAGGTCGACAGCATTGTCGAGGATTCTGTGGTGCTTGTAAGTATTGTAAAGTACTTGTGAATAGTGATATTCGTAACAAACATTGTTAAAGAATTCATAACATTTGGTTTCTGTGAATTAATCGACTGTCGTGGGTTACTTTCACATTGTTTGACGACTATGCTGTCTTATTAATATTCAAATGCCTTTCAAAATAGTTTATAATCCGTTTTATCTATAGATAGAGGGAATAATTAGTAATAATTACTCAATTTGTGGATTAATATTTGTAAATGATAAGTAATCGTCCTTTTCGATATCTTTGTGTGGTGTTACTGACCCAAATATGTTAATGAGTATGGACCTTGTCTTTGTAGTATAATCTGAATATTTACACATAAACAAGACACTTAATTTATGCTGTACTTGAAGCCTAGATCTTATTACTTGTCAGAAACAAAAGACTGCCTTCTTTGTCGAGTTTATACTGCAAACGTGTTTGTTGGGCGAAATCTTTTAAATTCGATTTCTGAGTCAGACAAGCTGATATTGTGCTTTTTATGGTTTTATAAAAATTCACAGTAATTAACAGCACCGAGTCTGGAATTGTGCCCGGTATATGGCAATAGTCTCACCCCCTATTACATGGGACTCATAACTTAAATAGTGAAAAGTGGGTGTTACATTGTATATGTCCATACTAAGTCCTTTTTTTCAGTTAAAATGTATGACATTATGTCTGAAACTAAGAAGATCTATTGTTTAGTTCAGGAATGTAATAACTAAAGAAAAATCTATTATTATAGAAATCTAGTTATTTTATTATTGTTTATACATTACCTGTGACTGATATTTATATAATAAGGCTGCACAATTATGTAATTTTATTCCTACATGTGTTACATACCTTGTGATTATGTTCTTTGAAATGCTTGATATTCAAATAAAGTGGAGACACACTAAATCAATTAGGTATTAAGTTTTTAGGCTTACTCATGTAATTATTTGACGTAATTTATAACATAATAGGGCAGATGACTAATTTTTATTTTAATGTCCGTCTGGTAGATTATTATAAAACATTACACAGATACATTTTTATTTTCTAACAGAAATAAACACCTTTCACGATATACTGATTTGAAACATCGCGTGAAATCACTTCGAGGGCTGTTTTATATATAGTAATGACGTTTTATCTCCCATTTCTAAACTTTGATTCGTTTTATCTAAGTATTGTTTTCCTATATGACAGATAAGAATCTAATATTTTTTCATTACCTAACTGACGGACTAAATAAAGTTTTCATACCCAGTATCATCCCTATTATGAAACGTAATTATTTGAACTCAAAAGAGGACAAATAATAAATTACGTCAGTAAGCCGAAAAACATCTATTTGTGTACTAAAATTTACCAAATTCAGTTTAGTCGTTCGGGAGTGAAAGTGAGACCATTTAGCCTTTTTTAATCATCATAGGCTTTCTATTTCCAATATTAGTTAGCTTGTATTTAAATATTTATGTACACAAGTTAGTAAAACTTCCCGCTTACAATTGGGATGATGACAGGGTATGAAAATTAAAAATCTATTTAGTCCGTCAGTTCAGTAATAAAAGAATATTAGACACGAATCAAGTGTGGGAGAGCCATGCTTCGCAACGCATGCGTCGTATGAGTGAGGTTACTGGAGGCCCAATTACCCTCCCCTTCCCCAATCTCCCCAATCCCTGAATCCCCAACGATCCTCAAACTCCTAATCCCCAAAAAGCCGGTAACGCATTTGTAACGCCTCTGGTGTTCCAGGTGTCCATGGGCGGCGCCGATTGCTTTCCATCAGGTGATCCGTATGCTCGTTTACCGGATTATGCCATAAAAAAAATGTTTGTCTTGTACTTGGATAAAATAAATCAAAGTTTGGGGGTACGAGCTAAAACAATATTTCTACATACGTGGAAGTGACGTCTCGCGATATTTCAAATCAATAAATCGTTGAAAGTATTTGTTTCCGTAAGAAAATAAAATATACGTGTCTAATGAACATAATAAACAAAACTATGTAACTGGAGAATTGTGAACTTGATTGAAAAAGAGTAACCTATGGAGTTTCTTGCTCGTTCTTCTCCATAGGAATCTACACCTTGGAATGAGCAAATAGCTTCACTTGTTAATTTTCTTTATTGACGTTCAAAAGTGCCTCTATGGTCTAATTGAAATAAATAATTTTGACTTTGACTTTGACTTTAATGTGTTAAAATAATTTACCAGACGGACATTACAATAAAATTTTGTCATAGATCTATCCTTTTCTTTAGTTTAGTATTTCTTTATTTAAAATCTTACTTAACCCATTTATCTCCAAGCGGGCGGACACCGGTGACCACTCCCCAGTAACTACATTGTAGACCTTATTTCCAATGTTTAGAGACTACTTTTGTATGAACAAAGTTAGGTGATGATATTTCAACAGGTTAGATAGGTACGAAAGTGTGTGTGTTTGTTACTCAACCACGTCAAAACGGCTGAAGGAATCGGGATGAAATTCGGAACAGGGGTAGGTTATGGTCTGGAAAAATATATAGGCTACTTTTTACCCCACGGGAACACGAGCAAAGCCACTGGGAGAAACTAGTAGAGTAAATAAACATAAAATTAAACTTTTTAATTCCAATAGGAGTAAACAGATGCATATTTACAATGTAACACCCACTTTTCACTATTTATGTTATGAGGCCCATGTAATAGGGGTGATCCTATTGCCATAACACATTCCACAGATAGGTTTAAAGAGACTAGCCATTAAAAGCCGCGGAGGACTTAATAGCCGCGGAGAACTTAACGGTAGCCGGTGCTCCGGCTCGACGTGCAGGAGTAGGAACGGGGTGGTTTTAGTCAGTAAGAGTCTGACACTCCCTCCCGCCTCACCCAGACGGGAGCAGTCATTCGATGATTTTCCCCCCTTAAAAAAATTCTTATGCAAATAAAAATAAAACTGTTGTATTAACAACAGTAAAAAAAGTTTCTAAAAAAAGACAACACACAACACATTAAACTGTCAAACACCAAGCGGTCACCGGTGACCGCAACCTATTGTTCTATAATTGTGTCTATAATGACGGTACTCGACGAGTATGATCTAATAAATTCAATACCTACTTTTTTCGAACTGTCAAAAACAGTTTTCTATGAATTTTGTACGAGGCTGTGTATTGTGACGTCACGTTTTTTAGCGTCAAATAGCGTACTTATTAGTTTATTACTTAAAAATTTACTAAAGTTGAGTTGGTCATAAAATCAATTAATGAGAGTGTGATTATTTTATTGTATTGAACAGTCGAAATAATTTATTTTTGAATAAGGAAAGTACTCAATTACGATAATCTAAAAACTACACAATACTTAGAAAAAGTAAACAGCCATTATGTCTAGATTACATAGTAACAAAAGAATATATAAATAGTTACTTTGTAACAAACAACAACTTACCTTATAACCTTCCTCTAAGGTTGGTTTTTCAATGTCATATTATAATAGAAAGTTTACAGTTATCGTTTCAAGGGAACGTAGTCTTTATTCTGATTAGGTTAAAGTTCATATTTCTGAATATAGGTAGAAAATTAATGTTTACTGAACAATACTTTAGTTTTGTAATGAAACTGTACAATGGTTTAGTGGTTACGAGCGTGACAGACTTACCGAGAGTATCTAGGTTCGATAGTTGAGTAAAGTATTTTTGTTTTATTTTGACATTCTAAAATAGTGTGATGAAATGTTTAATAGGTGCTTGCCAATTATATAACATAACATCACGACTTTTATCCCCGAAGGGGTAGGCAGAGGTGCACAATACGGCACTTAATGCCACTGTACAATGTAACACCCACTTTTCACTATTTGTGTTATGAGTACCATGTAATAGGGGGTGAGCCTATTGCCATATACCGGGAGCTATTCCGGACTCCTTGCTACCAATGAGATTTTTAAAAACTCAGTAATACTTTGCTCGACGCGGTAATCGAACCCGAGACCCCTTGCCCGGAAGTCACACTTGCGACCACTCGGCCAACGAGACAGTCGAACGCCAGAAAAGTTAATGATCCATGTGTTTATTGTTTCAGATAACATTACAAACAGTATGGACTGGACAGACAGTGCAGTTTTGTGATTAATAGCCAATACAGCAATAATAATATATCAACATGTCTTCCTCATGTAAGTTTGTTCATATTATTATGATACTAGCTTCTTCTCGCAGCTTTGTTCATCATCATGCGTACAGCCACGTACTGTCCCCTGCCCCTCACAGTCCTCCCCCAATGACTACACGGTCGCGAGGTTGGAAGCGATTGATACCTACCTACTTATCATTATTATACACTAAACTACTCAAGAATCATTCCATCTCTAGTGAAAATCGCATAATAATTCTTACAATAGTTTTTTTTTATGGCATAAGCCGGTAAACGTGCAGACGGACATGGACACCTGGAACACCAGAGGCGTTACAAGTGCGTTACCGGCTTTTTGGGGATTAGGAGTTTGAGGATCGTTGGGGATTCAGGGATTGGGGAGATTGAGGAAGGGGAGGGTAATTGGGCCTCCGGTAACCTCACTCACACGATGAAACACAACGCAAGCGTTGCTTCACGTCGGTTTTCTGCTCGACAGTGGTATCACTCCGGTCGAGCCGGTCCATTTGTGCCGAAGCATGGCTGTCCCACACTTGAGTTTTTGGGATTACCACGAACAGATGTCGATATTTTTAAGTTTATTAGCATTATCAATTTCCGAATACCTTCTTCTAGTTTCCTCTTCTATTTCTGTACAAAATTAATCAAATTTCAGCGTGTTCAATCTTTATACCTTCTTCCATTCTTTTTTTATATATTTGGTGGGCCGACCACTGTCTCGCCTTTTGGTTAGCGATAATTCGGTCTACGATGGAGCACCTCGATCCATAGGCAACTCATTCACTCGGGCCTTAAAGACACCCAGGAACTTCAGGAAATACAGGCTCTGGCAAAAAATTCCGGTCCTTAGCAGTACGCACAAGGAAGCCTGAATTCTCCCCTATCAGACGTCATCCCATATCATTTGTCAGAGGTCTCAGTCTATACAAGTTTTCTTTGCTCGTCCTTCTGCAAATATTATATTGACTGCACGGTTGGCACGGTGCAACCAATTGTGTGATCCACAAATTGTTCTTTCGGGTTTGTGTGTCATGTGTATGTGAACGCACCGTCCATGATACTGGAGAAAATCCTAGTGGGGGGCAAAGTTTTTTTTTTCAAGAAAAAGAAAGTCTATAATGAGTATTTCATACGATGAAATGAAAGGATGCCTGCCTCGTTGGTCGAGTGGTCGAAAGTGCGACTGTTGGGCAAGGGTTCCCGGGTTCGATTCTCGGGTCGAGTAAAGTAGTATGGGGTTTTTAAAAAAATCTCAGTGGTAGCACGGAGTCTGGAAACAATTCCAGAGCCTATTCCAGAGCTCACCCCCTATTACATGGGACTCATAACATAAATAGTGTAAAGTGGGTGTTACGTTCTACAGTGGCATTAAGTGCCGTAATGTACTCCTCTGCCTGCCCCTTCGGGAAAAAAAATGCGTGATGTTATGTTATGTTATGTAAAATGAAAGAATCTCGTGATATTGTATCTACATTTTAAAATACAAGTTTTCCTACAAATAAGTTGATCTGATAATTACGATCTCGTGGCATGACGCGTAGTAGGGGAAAAACAACTTTGTAATATTATGACGTCATGTAATAACGAGAATATTCGTAGATACACGTCGTATACCAGTCGGGGATGACGTCACAGTAGAATACATTTATCAGCGACCCTATTCTTCTGCGTTGCGTCTCGTATACCCGACTAAGGGACTACACATTTGACAGAGACTGGGCAGCAGCGCTCTGATACACCTTGATGCTTACCTTTGAAACCAGTCTCAATGTCATTGCAATTAATCTCAGTAATTATTCAATATCAACACTATACAACCCCTATCGTAGCTGTTAAAATAGCATTCGGGGTACGGAATATAAAGCCAAACTCAATACCATTTAGTTCATTCAATATCCACGCAATACGGATGCAATGGGCGCTAGTGTTGCAACTCGAGAGTACGAAATTTCACAATATCAATGTTGATCGATCGGAATTGGATTCAAGAGTAAATTCCCTGAACCTTTTTATACCACGATCTCTAACTCGAACTGGAGGTTCTGACAAACCCTCTTACGTTAAGGAGGCGCGTAGTCCAGCTGTGGACTGTCATTGTTAATATCAAATGTGGATGGAGAGTATAAGAGAAATAATATGGAGGAGAATGGAGTTTGTGATGTGATGGAAGCTAAAGAAGTATGTAAGGAGCGTAGTAGGTGGCGCTCTGTAGTTTCTGTATACCATCAGATGTATGAATGTGATGGAAGCTAAAGAAGTATGTAAGGAGCGTAGTAGGTGGCGCTCTGTAGTTTCTGTATACCATCAGATGTATGAATGTGATGGAAGCTAAAGAAGTATGTAAGGAGCGTAGTAGGTGGCGCTCTGTAGTTTCTGTATACCATCAGATGTATGAATGTGATGGAAGCTAAAGAAGTATGTAAGGAGCGTAGTAGGTGGCGCTCTGTAGTTTCTGTATACCATCAGATGTATGAATGTGATGGAAGCTAAAGAAGTATGTAAGGAGCGTAGTAGGTGGCGCTCTGTAGTTTCTGTATACCATCAGATGTATGAATGTGATGGAAGCTAAAGAAGTATGTAAGGAGCGTAGTAGGTGGCGCTCTGTAGTTTCTGTATACCATCAGATGTATGAATGTGATGGAAGCTAAAGAAGTATGTAAGGAGCGTAGTAGGTGGCGCTCTGTAGTTTCTGTATACCATCAGATGTATGAATGTGATGGAAGCTAAAGAAGTATGTAAGGAGCGTAGTAGGTGGCGCTCTGTAGTTTCTGTATACCATCAGATGTATGAATGTGATGGAAGCTAAAGAAGTATGTAAGGAGCGTAGTAGGTGGCGCTCTGTAGTTTCTGTATACCATCAGATGTATGAATGTGATGGAAGCTAAAGAAGTATGTAAGGAGCGTAGTAGGTGGCGCTCTGTAGTTTCTGTATACCATCAGATGTATGAATGTGATGGAAGCTAAAGAAGTATGTAAGGAGCGTAGTAGGTGGCGCTCTGTAGTTTCTGTATACCATCAGATGTATGAATGTGATGGAAGCTAAAGAAGTATGTAAGGAGCGTAGTAGGTGGCGCTCTGTAGTGTTTGTATATCATGGGACAAAGGTGTGAGTTTATGTATGTACGTATACTATATCGTTGCGAAACCATTGTTAAAGTGGGCGGATGTTATTAAGCAATCAATAGTATATGTATGTTAGTAATGCGTCAACATCAACGGCCCGTGGCAACTGTTAGACATGGTGCCTCCTCTACACAAGAGAAATACTTTGCAGGACGGTCGCAGTTTAGCGGCTAAATATACTTTTTGTCCACATATTTTGGACGGATAAACAGTCCAAAGTCTATGTACTACGATCGATTTTTGGCGGGAACTTTTTTTTTTTATGGAATAAGCCGGTAAACGAGCAGGCGGATCACCTGATGGTAAGCAGTCGGCGTCGCCCATGGACATCTGGAATACCAAAACGTTACCGCATTTTTGGGAATTGGGAATTTTAGGATTGTTGGGGTTTCGGTGATTGGGAAGATGGGGGTAATTGGGTCTCCGGTAACCTCACTCACGCGACGAAACACAACACAAGCGTTGTTTCAGTCGGTTTTCTGCTCGGCCGTGGTATCGCTCCGGTCGAGCCGGGCCATTCGTGCCGAAACATGGCTCTCCCACACTAGTAGTAGTAGTGGACTGAGAAACCAGAAATACTGGAGTTTTTGGACTGTTACTCAGTCCAAAATCGGTCGGTTAGTCCAGAGACTACTGTACCTGCATATCCTTACTAATATTACGGAAAGTGAGTTTGTTTGTTTGTTCCGCTTTCACGCCATAACTACTAAACCGATTGCTTTGAATCTTTGCAAAAAAAAATGTTAGAAGTCAGGATTAAATAATAGGATACTTTTTATCCCTGAAAAATTGATATTCTCGAGGGAAAACGAAATTATTGGTATAGATGGCGCTGTGTGTATTTGTATATGTCTCATTGGCTACTTTTTATCCTTTTGTGACGCAAGCGAAGCCGCGGGTAAAAGCTAGTACTAAATAACTTGGCTAATTGTATTATCGACGAAGTTAACATTATTGCGCTTTTTAAACAAAATCCTGTTTGAAACTTGCCATCCATCGGGCATTTTCCCCGTGGGCGAACGCGCCTAATGCATGCGTATATCGCCTAATGATAGTCTACCGCCAACTTTATCGATTGTACATAGATGGGTTGTTGTTATAGCATGCAAAATAACATCCGCTATCGATGTTGGAAGGTTACATAACAGATATATTATCTAAATAATTAACTGTGTATGCATACACTAGCACACTTCCCCGTGGTTTCACCTGCTCCAAAATCAAAGTCAAAGCATTTATTTCAAAGTTAAACCATAATTTGGTACATTTGATTGTGGCGTGATGATTGTAGCATGTTTTTATAGCCTTTCTCGATAAATGAACTATCCAACACAAAGAGAATTATTCAAATCGGACATGTAGTTTCGGAGATAAGCGCTTTCAAACAAACAAACATACAAACAAACACTTTATCTTTTTACCATTGTACTAGCGCCTCCGGTGCGGTTTTATCCGCTCTGCTCGGGTCCCATTGACCGTAGCGTGATGTTTTATAGCCTATAGGCTTCCTCGATAAATGGACTATCCAACACAAAATTAATTATTCAAATCCGACCTGTAGTTCCTGAGATTATTGCGTTCAAAGAATCAAACAAAATTTTCAGCTTTTTTATTCTAGGTAGTAGTAGACGTTTGACCACCATCTCGCCTGGTGGTCAGCTATGACGTGGCCGACGATGGAGCACGCCTACCTATGAGCAACCTATCCACTCGGGATAATATAATCACTACATAGTATAAAACAAAGTCGCTATCCGCCGTCTGTCTGTCCCTATGTATGCTTAGATCTTTAAAACTACGCAACGGATTTTGATGCGGTTTTTTTAATAGATAGAGTGATTCTTAAGGAAGGTGTATATGTATAATACATGCATATTGCATCCGTGCGAAGCCGGGGCGGGTTGCTAATGTATAATATATTGTAGTACATATATAAGATAAGATAAATACTACCTAGATAACGTGGTTAAAGACTGAGCTCATTGGTGGGATATTAGAAAGGTTTAGAGGTATATGTCCAACAGTAGACCGAATCGATCTCATAACCGAGTTTCGATGAAGATGTTGAATAAAGAGGTTTCGTGTCTTTCCGTTTTGGTAGTCTTCAAAGTGTGGGAGAGCCATGCTTCGGCACGAATGGGCCGGCTCGACCGGAGTGATACCACGGCCGAGGAGAAAACCGACGTGAAGCAACACTTGGGTTGTGTTTCGTCGTCACCAGTGTCCCAACTACCCCCACCTCCCCTTCCCCAATCTCCCTAATCCCTGAATCTCCAACATTCCTTAAACTGTCAAACACCAAGCGGTCACCGGTGACCGCAACCTATTGTTCTATAATTGTGTCTATAATGACGGTACTCGACGAGTTAAATAGTAATAAAAAATTCTATGACAAGGGCACGGACCAAGAGTCCGTGGAGAATGAATATGTAGTAACATTAAAAAAAAACATTCCTCAAATTCCTAATCCCATAAAAGTCTCGTAAAATAGGCTCACCCACTATTACATGGGACTCATAAAATAAATAGTGTAAAGTGGGTGTTACATTGTACAGTGGCATAACGTACACCTCTGCCCGCTGCCGTCCCCTTCGGGGATGATGAATGAAAAGTCTCGAAATTGGCTTATTTGCGTTTATTTTTGTTTTCAAAATCACCTCTTTCTATCATTATCATCAACAGCCTAGTTATAAGTGTCCACTGCTGACCAAAGGTCTCTTCTCACACGGAGAAGGTTTCAGCATGAATCACCACGCTTGCTCAATGCGGATTGGCGATTCCAAACTTATAATTAGAAATTATAATATAAGCCCAGGTTTCCTCACGATGTTTTTCTTCACCGTTTGTCTGTGGTGTCTAGATAATCTTACAAAGTACATATAACTCGGAAAAAGTCACATTGGTAATTGCCGTTGGTAGGTTTCGGAGTCGCACCCTCAGGCATGAGAAGCGGGCGTTTTAAGTCTCCGAGCCACCACGACGCTATAATAAAATTCGTTTATTTGCAAAAAAAGATTACGGAACTTATAAAATGAGATTGGAGCCTCCTTTTAAGCAAGACACTGTCTCTGTCTCTCTCTCGTCTTTTCATCTCTTTCTATAATTATTATTGCAGAAGTATGCCTTCTTCCAAATATGGAAGTAGATCCACTTTAGCAACTTACCCCCTTTCATAGCAGCTTGCGTTATAAATTGTTATGTTATGTTTATCAACATGAACAACTCATTCCCGCTGCAATTCAATCTGATAAATTAAAATGAGACACATTTATGCGCATGCGCACACAGTCATAATATGCGCTCCGTTTAAATGATGCGACCTGCTGTTGACCTCCTGGTGTATAAGTATAGTGTTAGTCATAATTGTAATTATCTTTATTAGTTCCGTCTGTGGTGTTTTGTTCATTAGATGGCGTTAGTGTACCGGGAGGTGGTGTTTGTTCAATCACTTAGCTTTAAAAACTAGAATGTCCAATGGTTTGAATTATTTCTCTATTGGACACACTGGGTTTTATCCTTACTAATATTACAAATCGGAAAGTGAGTTTGTTTGTTTGTTTCGCTTTCACGCCGTAACTACTAAACCGATTGCTGAATTTTTGCAGACGTAAAGTTAGAAATCTGGATTAAATAATAGGGTACTTTTTATCCCGGAAAAATTGATATCCTCGAGGAAAAACGAAATCATTGGTATAGATGGCGCTGTGTATATATGTCACATAGGCTACTTTTTATCCTTTTGTGACGCGAGCGAAGCCGCGGGTAAAAGCTAGTATTATATTATTAATTTTTTTGGGACTGCCTCGTTGGCCGAGTTGTCGCAAATGTGACTGCTGGGCAAGGGGGCTGGGGTTCGGTTCCCGAGTCGAGCAAAGTAATACTAGGTTTTTTAAAAATAATCACAGTAGTTAGTAGCACGGTGTCTCGATGATTTTCTCCACTTATAAAAAAGTGTACGTAATTATATTATTTTTTATTTACACCTTTGATCAAATATGTATAAGATATGTACATAGTTGGTTGAATCACACGTGTAGGACATTTTGCAATACACAATGACTGATGCGTACTCATAAGTGATTCATAGACAATCTTAGACAATATTATGACAATAATATATGTTTTCTTTTTGCAGTTGAAACGACGGAAATGCTGGAGAAGACTCCTGCGTAAGTATTCATTTGTATAAACAATTAATAGTTTATTATTTTATCGTCAATGTCAGTAGTCCTTGCACCTGTGCCTTTAGCCAAACGCCACTTTATATTTAGTGCTTGTCTATCGAGAGAGTAGAAAACTAAATGTATGGGGATGACACTGACAAGTGTCAACATTTGTTCATTACCTAACTGACGGTATAATTAGATATTTATTTTGTTTTTTATTTTTTCGAATTCTTTGATTGTATTTTAGTGTTACATTGTTCTCGCACAATCCGAACAACAAAACTATGTAACTTGAGAATTGTATTGTGAACCTGATTGAAAAAGAGTAACCTATGGAGTTTCAGGTTTCTTGCTCGTTCTTTTCCATAGGAATCTACACCGTGGAATGAGCAAATAGCTTCACTTTTATTTTTTTTTGTTGACGTTCAAAAGTGCCTTTCTGTTCTAATTGAAATAAATGATTTTGACTTTGACTTTGACTGCCATCATCCCTATTCTGTGCTATGAGCCAATGTCATTTAACGCTTGTCTACTTGTAGCGTAGAAAACCAACA